TGAGACAGAGAGACAGAAAGCGAGAAATCACCCCCAGAGGGGATGGTCACGCCGCAGTCCCTTCTCCTCCATTCTCCGCTCGGGATCTTGGGCACACACACACATGCGCCCGGCGTGAGTTTTAAGCCACCGGGTCCGGGATGCGAACTGCGGTTGACTACGTGGGAGTCCAGCGACATGGCCATTACACTAACTGCTGGTTCCCGTGTTTCCCATTCTTTCGGGTACAGAGAGTAACCCCTGGATCTAAGCCTGCCGTTCTGAGACCCCACCAGACTTTTATACACTGGCTTCACCCTTGTACATTCCCACCAAGAATGTGCAGGGGTTGCAATTTCCCCTCATCCCCTCAGAACATTTTGTGAAATTTATAACAATGTGGCGTAATAGTAATAGTAATAGCCAGCATTATGAGGAAACCCAGGCTCAGAGAGAAAGAAGTCACTCCGCCAGCGTCATGCAGGACCAGGTCAGGCAGACGAAAGGTCCCCAAAGATCCTTGGAGCACGCAAAGAGAGTTTGCAGATGTGACAGAACTGACGGTGCTCATCCGCCCGTCGGATGAGCTTGGATCATCCAGGAGGCCCAGTGTAATCACGAGGGGCCGCACAAGCGGAAGAGGGTGGCCGTGGGGTAAGAAAAGAGACGCGACGATGCACGCAGAGAACCAGGGAGACGCGCCGTGGGAGATGATCACCGGCCATGCCTGGCTGGGAAGGCAGATCTGTGGATGCTGTGGCTTTGAAGACTGTGGAAGGCAGCCATGATCAGTGACCCCAGAACGCAGGTGCCCTCTAGAATCTGGAAAATAGAAGAAAGCGTGTTGTTTCTAGAGCCTCGAGAAAAGAGGTCGCGTTCCCAACACTTGTAGCTCATGGACTTCTGGGTCCCCGAACTGGACAATACCACGTCTGTTGTAAGCAGCCACTGGTGGTAGTTTGTTACAGCAGCAAGAAGGAGCTCATACCCCAGGATGTGGCGGGAGGGCATCGGCCGCATCCGACTGGCTCCAGTGGTTCTAGCCGCCGTTCCAGGGCGTCCTCCAGGTCCCGTACTGCCCTCTGCCCACCTGGACACCAACGGATCTGTCTAGCACGAGGGGTTTTAAAAGCTGGCGGACAGGGAACCAGCAGTTAGCGTAATGGCTATGTTGCTGGACTCCCACGTAGTCGACAGCGGTTCGTGTCCCGGACCCGGTGGCTTGAATCTCACGCCGGGCGCGTGTGCGTGCGTGCCCAAGATCCCGAGAGGAGAATGGAGGAGAAGGGATTGCGGCGTGACCATCCCCCCTGGGGGGTGATTTCTCGCTTTCTGTCTCTATGTCTCTCTCTGTCTGTCTGGCGAGCGCACGCGCCCTACAGTGAAAATCTCTCCAAAAAAAAAAAAAAAGCTGGCGGACAAATGCAGTCACGGCACAAGTGTTTGGTACCTAACCCCCACTTGGTGGCGTAAAGGCCCTCGGGGATCTCAGCTGTGCTGACGTTGGCTGCTCGAGGCCCCAGCCAGGCTGGTTTTCCAGAGCTCTCAGGACCTACGGGACTACTTCGCGTCTCCGAGCCTTTGCACTCTGACCTTTCTCTTTTTCTTTTAACTTTCTATCGGGTGAGTGTGCTCACCGTGGAGAGACAGAGAGAGCAGGGAAGTGAGAACACCCCGGGGTGGCCATGCCACCACCCCCTCCACTCTCTTCTCAGGATTTTAGGCATGCACATACATGTGTCCAGCATGTTTTCCAAGCTGCCAGGTCCAGGATTTGAACCCCACAGTCGGACATGTGGGACCTGTGCCTTAACCAGCACACCCCTGGTATGTGCTTGCTAGTGAGAGAAGAAGAGGGGGTGGGGGCCCTCAGCGAGGCGCAGACACACACTTCCCCTTATTCTTTCCATCCTGCTGGGATTTGGGGCACACGCATGCACATGCATGCACATGCATGCACACACGCACACACACACGCACACACTCATGCACACACTCTGTGTTTTCCAAGCTGCAGGGGCCAGGACTTGAACCCACTGTTGGCCTTGTGGAATCCGGCTCCCTTAGCCACTGCTCTACAGGGCTGGCCCCTGGCGGTTCTCAGCAGGGTGAGGACGCCCCCTGCAGGACGGCTGGCGAGGGTGTGTTTGCCTCCCGGACGAGCGAGACCTGCCATCTCAACACCTCTCCGTGTTGTTCCAGTTTCCAGACACAAGCTGAGGTGCAACGAGGTCGGAACTGGCTCTGGGAACACGGCAAGTGCCAAGACAGGAGGACAGAGGCGTTTCCGAGGAGCACACAGAAGGGGGACGCTGGCTCTGAGCAGGAGTATGGCGGCTCATTGCTGTTGGCTTCATTGTCCTGGGGCAGGGGCCCGCGCGTTTTCTGGAAGGCCCAGCCTCTGGGCGTTTTAGGCTTCGAGGCCCAGACGTCTCGGTGGCCACTGCTCAGCCCCACCCTGTGACGTGAAGGCAGCCATGGACGCACACACGTGAGCCGGCCTGGGTACAAGGGACTGGACGCCAGGGTCGCCCGGGCTCCTGTGGGGAGATGTCCTTCCTGGTCTCTCCCCCCGCCCTCTGAAAAGGCACGGTCCCTGCGGGCTCTGGGGCAGCAAGGAGGGGCACACCGGCTGCAGGTCAAGCTCGGAGGCATGCTGTGCCCGGGTCGCCGTGCTTGGGGACACCGTGCTGGGGATGCTGTGCTGGGGACACCATGCTCGGGTTGCTGTGCTCGGGGATGCTGTGCTGGGGACACTGTGCTGGGGACGCTGTGCTGGGGACATTGTGCTGAGATGCCCTCGGATACAGAAGCAGGAGCCGGGAGAGCCTGTTCCTCCGTGGCAGCCAGCGTGGGCAGGGTCTGGGTCCCGTGGCCGCTGGGCAGGCCGGAGGGCGTGTGGGCGGCTCGTGTTGTCCTTGCAGCTGGGAGGTCGTGGGCGACCAGAGCCCTGTGTATCCTGGAAGGGGAACGTGCTCCCACGACGTGCAGATCGAAGCCATTTCTGAAGATGCTCCTGTGGCCACTGCTTTTCCTGGGGCTGGCAGACGCCTGTGTTCCCCGCGAAGGTAGCCCCCCGCCCTCCTGCCCCCACACTCTCCCTAACGTGGGGACAGCCGTGCACTGGCGTCAGCCGGACTTGCCCGCCTCGGGTCTTGTGGGATTGTTTTCCTTGGTGGAGACACAGGGTGGGCGAGGTCCAGGTCGGTGCCGCTGCCCTTGGGGGGCAGATGGCGTCACGTCCGGGTGTTCATCACCTGCTCCAGCTCTGAGCAGTGGGGTGCACAGGAACCCCAGCCAAGGGACTGTGTTGTCCTGAGGGGTCCCTGGCTGCGATGTCACTGCGGCAGGACTCCCTGCACTGAGAGGAGGACCCGAGTCTCTGGCCGGCCAGTCCCTCTCCCCACGCGATCCTCAGGTTTCCGAGTTCTGGGCCCGATGCTGGGGACACAGTGGGGAGGACACCTGGTCTTCATGGAGCTTCATCCTTGGGGCTCAGACGGCCTCTCTGGAACTCTGACATTTGGGGTGTGCCCCCACAAGGAGCAGAAGCTAAGAGCCGGCGAGCTTCCAGGAGAAGGCTGCGAGTCCCGCAGGGTCTGGGAGAGGCCAGGTGTCAGGAGCAGGGTGCTCAGAGGACATGGGGGTCACCGCGGGCTCAGAGGAGCTGGGGACCAGCACGCTGGGGGTCTCGTGGGTCATATGGGGGACGGGTGTTTTCTCAAGGGCGAGAGGAAACTGTTAAAGAGTTTTCAGCAAGGGAGTGCCATATTTAGGTGTGTGTGTGTGTGTGTGTGTAAGTGTGTGTGTGGGGGTGTAAGTGTATGTGGGTGGGTGTAAGTGTGTGTGTGAGTGTGTGTGGGTGGGTGTGTGAGTGTGTGTGGGTGTGTGTGGTATGGGTGTGTGTGTGAGTGTGTGTGGTGTATGTGTGTGGTGTGTGTGTGTGGTGTGTGTGTGAGTGTGTGGTGTGTGTGAGTGTGTGTGGTGTATGTGTGTGGTGTGTGTGTGTGGTGTGTGTGTGAGTGTGTGGTGTGTGTGAGTGTGTGTGGTGTGAGTGTGTGAGTGTGTGAATGTGTATGCAGCTTTAAAAACGCTGTGTGAAACAGCACGGAAATTGCTTGAGGAATGGAAGTGATACCAGCAGAGGTGTCTGCACATGGGTTACCACAGCAGTGATACCACCAGGCTGATGGACTGCCTTACCCTGGAGCTGTATAGTGAGCCCAGTGGGTTATGACTTTACTCCTATCAGATTCAGATTGCTCAGAGCCTCTCTGCTCTCTGACTGGTGAGTGCCATTATGGTTGAGCTACCGAGCTTTTGTGGGTTTAATACCATTTTTGCTTACTTCCATAGGAGCCTTAGAGGTTTGTGTGTGTGTGTGTGTGTGTGTGTGAGTGTGTGTGGTGTGTGTGTGTGTGTGAGTGTGGTGTGTGTGAGTGTGTGTGTGTGTGAGTGTGTGTGTGGTGTGAGTGTGTGGTGTGTGTGAGTGTGGTGTGTGTGTGTGTGTGTGTGTGAGAGTGTGTGTGTGTGAGCAATGGTGAAGAATGCCCGGGTGTGAACCGAGTGGATGCAGACAGTGAGGGACCGTCTCCGTCTCAGGAGATCTGTCTGTGTCTACGCTTGGCTGCTTTTTCTTTTTTAAATTTGTTATGAGGCACATGCACTCACCAGAGAGAGACAGAGAGAAAATGAGAAAGCACCATGGGGGATGCCACATTGCAACCTCCACTCTCCTCCCAGGACTTTGCAGTGCGTGCTCGCATGTCTGCTGTGTTTCCGAAGCCACCAGGTCCCACTCGAGCCACGCATGCGCAATCCAGTCGCCCTCACCACCACGCTACCAGCTGGCCCTGTGTTTACCTACTTTCTTTTAGTGCTGTAAAGGAATGATTTATTTATGTATTTATTTTAGTTATTATTCTAATTTGCCATAGGGCACATGTGCTCACCAGAGAGAGCAAGAGGAAGCAAGCCACCAGATCCGGGACTGGAGCGGCAGTCCTGTTAACGGTGCCACTTGTTGACCCATATTTACCCATTTTTTTAATTTGCTAAAGGGCACATGTGCTCACCAGACAGAGAGGGAAAAAGTGAGAGAGCACCCTCATGAAGAATGGTCACACCCGGGAACCAGCAGTTGGTGTAATGGCTATGTTGCTGGACTCCCACGTAGTCGACAGCGGTTTGCGTCCCGGACCCGGTGGCTTAAAACTCACGCTGGGCGCGTGTGCATGCGTGCCCAAGATCCCGAGAGGAGAATGGAGGAGAAGGGATTGTGGCGTGGCCATCCCCCCTGGGGGGTGATTTCTCGCTTTCTGTCTCTATGTCTCTCTGTCTGTCTGGCGAGTGCACGCGCCCTACAGTGAAAATCTCTCCAAAAAAGAAAAAAGAAAAAAAAGAATGGTCACACCTCAGTCCCTTCCCTTCTATTTCCTGTTAGGGATTTTGGGCAGATACACATGCGCTTGCAGTGTTTGTCAAGCTGCTGGGCCTGGGACTCGAACTGCACAGGTGACTATGTGGGATCCAGTTGCCCTAACCACCGTCCCACGGGCTAACCCTGTATCTGTACCTCTCTTTATCTGTCTCATCGATCTGTACATCTACGTCTGCATGGCTGACTTTAAGAAGTTTGTGGGAAAATGGAGTCGAAGTACAAGTATGATGCAAAACATTTAAAGTATGTGCAGTCTTCCATAATACACACTTCTATGAACGTTTTTAAGACCTGTGTGTATGTATCTATGTGTGTATATATGTGAATGTGTGTTTATGTATGTGCATATATGTGTATACGTATGTGTGCATCTATACACGTATATGGTTGTGTGTATGTGTTTCTGTGTATATTGCATGTGCATGCACGTACATACATAAGTGTGTGTGTGTGCACATGAGCATATATGCACGTGCAAATATGTGTGTATGTGTGCACGTGTCTCTCTGTGTATATTGTATGTGCATTCATGTGTGTGTGCATGTGCATGTATGTATGTGTGTATGCATATATGCATGTATATTGTGCATGAGTGTATTGTGTGTGTATATGGGTGTGCATATATGTACGTGTGTATGTGTATGCATGTTTGTATATGTGCACTGGTGTATGTGTGTATGTGTATGCATGCATGCATGTGTATATGTACATGTATATGTGTATTTGTGTATATGTATGCATCTGCATATGTGTACATGTGTGTATTGTGTATGTGCATATGTGTATGCACGTGCATGTGTGATGCGTATGTATGTGCGTATGTGAATGCATGCATATGTATGTGTATGCATCCACGTGTGGACGTGTATGTGTGTGTGAGTATATGTGCATGTGCATACATATACATGTGTGTATGAGTGTGTATGCATGTATGTGTATATGTGAGCATATGTGTATGTGTGCATACATGTGTGCATGCATGCATGTGTATATGTGTATAGACATGTGTATGTGTATGTGTATATATGTGTGTATTTATGTGTATGTGTATATGCGTGTGTATATATATATGTGTATGTGTGTATGTATATATATGTGTGTGTGTATGTGTGTATGGGTGTATGTATATGTGTATGTGTGTATGTATATGTGTATGTCTGTATATGTGTGCATGTATATGTGTATGTGTGTATATGTGTATGTGTATATATGCATGTATATGTGTATGTATATGTGTACGTGTGTATATGTGTCTGTGTATATATGGGTATGTATATGTGTGTATGTGTGTATGTATATGTGTATGTGTATATGTGTATATATGTGTGTGTATGTGTGTATGTGTATGTGTGTATATGTGTGTATGTGTGTATGTATATGTGTGTATATATGTGCATGTGTATATATGTGTATGTATATGTGTATGTATGTATGTATATGTGTATGTATATGTGTGTATGTGTGTATGTATATGTGTATGTGTATATGTGTATATATGTGTGTGTATGTGTGTATGTGTATGTGTGTATATGTGTGTATGTGTGTATGTATATGTGTGTATATATGTGCATGTGTATATATGTGTATGTATATGTGTATGTATGTATGTATATGTGTATGTATATGTGTGTATGTGTGTATGTATATGTGTATGTGTATAT